TACATCTATACCAAATATAGAAATCCGTTCAGCCTAAGCTACAAACTCTAACAAACATCCATCCATCTAAACTTTCGCATTTATAATCTTACGTCTAATCTTACTAATATTATAAATGCGAAAGTTTAGATGGATGTATGTTTGGAGTTTGTAGCCCAAACTGAACGGATCTCGATGAAATTTGGCATTGCAATGATAGTCTGGAAGAACACATATGCTATTCAATTTTTTTTTTAAATTCCACGCGGACGTAGTCGCGGGCGAAAGCTAGTATTAGTATAAAAGTATGAATAGTATGATAGATTTAGATGTGTTTTCGAAGTATGAAAAGTTTAGTGGAAACTCACCTTAATACACGTGTGCAGTATTTACAAGTGCATGCTATATTGGATTCAACGCACGAAATGGTGACATAATAGCCGCGTGATGTCGCTGTAGTCGTGAGTCGTAATTAAAACGTATGCAGAAAGACGTTAACCGAATACTTAAAGCGAATGCAACTCTGACTATAGTTTGTCTAAATAAGATAGATTAGTTTGATAAATGACGCATAAGAAGTATCGAATTCATGTATGACGGCAAATGGCGTACTTAATAGACAGGTATCGTAGTGATGGAACAAACACGCAGCGAATAATAATGAACTATCGATATTCGGTTTAAAAACTTATCGAAAATTATTATTTTCTTATTAACAAATTTAGTGGACAATTCTAGTATTGATTATAGTGTAGAGAATTTAACGATGACAATAATAATAAATAATAGTGAAATCAAATTCGATTACGTACGGCTGTAGTAGTAATAAACATTTATTTGCTCTCATTATTTGTAATAGTTCTGAAGGTCATTATTAATTCGAGTAAACAGCGTTTGTTTTTTAATTCATAAGTTTTAATTACGAATCTATCGATTCCAACTTCTATAAGAATAAAAATCGAAAATCGATAAGATTCGTGACTGATTTACACAACCCATCCCTACTAAATTTGAAGTGAATTGTCAAACTAATCTAAATTATTTAGACACACCATAAACTACGAGCTGTTGCCCGCGACTTCGTCCGCGTATAAGAAAACATACGAACTATATAAATAATAAGTAGTGTAAGTAGATTAAAAAAAATAACTGGAAAAAGGTAATGGCCGCCATGATGGGGATGTTTCCTAATGTTACAAATTCAAATAAAGTTATGTTTAATATTTTAAAGACAGTATTTTAAAACCTATAATAACATTTGGAGACCTTAAATGTTTGTCTCCATTGAAATATAAATTAAAAACGCTGCAATATTTTTTACCCTCCATTACTCTATCTCAAACACCAATCAGAGCTCGGTGACGTCACTTCTTCGCAAACAACATGGCAGTGTGACCAGCTTCAGTGAATGTCAGTGCATTTTGTGGTTATAATTTTTTTTAATGATTATAATAATTGAGCTTGCGTGTGTTATATTATGAGGACTCCATTATTAAGTGTTTTTATATTTACGACATATTTTACGAGCAAATTTTTCGATCACTATGAAGAAAAAAAAATAGTAAATGTTATTTGAATAGCTAATTCAATTTACGTCTGGTCACTTTGAATGACTTTGACAGACCGCGACACGAGGTTTGTTAGCAAAGAAGTGACGTCATGTCATGAGGCGTTTTCGCGGTCTTCCGAGAAGTTGTTTTTAGTTAAGCGTTTTTGTAATTAAATGTTGCGTATATGATTTTATTATATTTTTTTTCTTGTTTAGATATGGTTTATCTACATAATAAAAGCAATTCCAAAAATTAGGAAACATCCCCATTGGATTAGATATTTCTCTATTTTTTAAGCGTTGAAATAAAATACACTCAAATTAATGTATATTTTATTTATAACTTGAATTATTAATGTATCTTAATTCTCAATTAATATAATTTTACAGTTATCTATACTATTATAATAAAGCGTAAACACACACTTATTTGTTGCCTAAGATGTCAGCAATTACAGCATAGTTTTGAATAATTCTTTTTTTTAACAAAAAGCCCTACACTTACTTCACGCTTTAGACTATATATATCACGCCATCAAACTTAGGGGGTAAATATTTTGGATAAAAGCCCAAATGTGGGACAGAGACCATAAGTTGCTGCCAACATCAAGGAAGCAACATTTTGACATTTGACAAATGTTAACAATAAAATGAAGTACTTTTAATTTCATGCGGATGAAGCCGCACGGGAACAGCTAGTCTTCGATAAAGCCTGTGATCTATGTTACTTTGGTATTCGAGAAATGTTTTAATATTTATTACCTCCATATCTAGATAAAACCGGTTCCATTCGATTAGAATTCAATAACAATGTTGTTCGAAAAAAACTACAGCTGCGTTTTGTTATTGTATTGTTTTTATAGTTTATATTACAAATAAATGTCTCTATTAATATACTAGCAGTTACCCACGTCTTCGTTCACGCAATATTAAGATAAAAAAGTAGCCTATATGCTTGTCTATGTCAGCTACTCTTCAGTGAAAGTCAGGTCAAAATTGGCCTAGCCGACAGACAGGCAAAAATAATTAAATCCGATTTTCCAATTTTATTATATCTATACTATTATAATAAAGCGTAAACACACACTTCTTTGTTGCCTAAGATGTCAGCAATTACAGCATAATTTTGAACAGTCCTTTTTTAATAAAAAGCCCTACACTAACGTCACGCTTTAGGCTATATATTTTTACGCCATTAAACTAAGGGGGTAAATATTTTGGATAAAAACCCTAATGTGGGAGAGAGACCATAAGTTGCTGCCAACATAAAGGAAGCAAGATTGCCATAGTAAGTTAAATGGTATTTTGACATTTGCAATTGATTATAGACTAGCTCACTCGCGACTTCGTCCTAAATTACTTAGCGATAACATAGTTTTTTAATGGTGAAATTTTGAAATCAGCTAAATGGTTAATGAGTTATTTGAATACATACAAAAATACAAATCTACAAGTCTTAATCTTTAAGAATCATACTAAAAAACAAACTAATATTTCAACAATTTTATGCGCGGTTCACACTCAGCCAAAACAGTTGGACAGTTGCAGCCAATCATAGATTGTATGTACTCATTGGCGCCGATTAGTGTTCACACTGTGGTAGGTGATTGACAGTCCAGTTAAAAACCGCTGATCAACTATACTAGTCAGGTGTGACGTATATAGCATGAGTAGTCTGGCGCGTTCGTCAAGACTGTTTACTTGTTTACTAAGTTAGATATTTACTTAACATATTATACTCTACTATAATAATTAGATTAATTCTGTAAAGATGCTATATTGTCGTTAATCGTCGTCGAAGTCGCGGGAAAAAGCTAGTAGAACATCATCATCAGCAGCTCACTATAGTAGTCACCACACGCTCGGAGCCTACCCTAAGTTAAGGGCGACTATGCCATAGTCAATCTTTAGACTTGACGAAGACTTTACACTTATATTTGAATTTCTTCGCCGATATGTTCATCACCGTAAGGACGTCGGGTAAATTATGTATATAAAAATCGAAAATCTCATTGGTACGGCGGGTTTCAAACCCAAGACCTGTAGATTACAAGTCAAGTGCTCAAACCCCTGAGCCACCGACGCTCAGTTGTAGCTCGCTAGTAGAACATACGTGGAACTGAATAATTCATATAAAAAACTGAACTGTAATTAACTTATACACGTGTAAAACTACGCAAAAACAATTATACTAAAGCCTGTATCTTTGCAAATAACCTTGGCAATAATATTAATACATTATGATAATGCACTTTTTGCATGTCTAATGTTCTTAAGCGATAATTCTTAGAGTATATATTTTGCGATTCTATTTTATTATAACTCATCTTTCATCTATACTATTATAATAAAGCGTAAACACACACTTCTTTGTTGCCTAAGATGCCAGCAATTACAACATATTTTTGAATAATCCTTTTTTTTTTAATAAAAAGCCATACACTTGCGAAACGCTTTAGACTGTATATTTTAACGCCATTAAACTTAGGGGCTAAATATTTTGGATAAAAACACTAATGTGGGTAAGAGACCATAAGTTGCTGCCAACATCAAGCAAGCAAGGTTGTCATCATGTCATGTCATTTTGACATTTGTAATTTGCCAAATGTAAACAATAAGATAAAGTTTTTTTCATAATTTCGTGCGGATGAAGCCGCAAGGGAATAGCTAGTTTAGAACTAAAAATAATATTTTTCCTCTCGTTAACATCGGTTCAGTCAACACTTAGTGGTGACTAGCCCTCAGTCAACGCACGCTAGCTAGATAGCTAGCGTACGCCAGATGGCCCACTAGGGTTTGACATAAATCTATACTAATATTATAAAGAGGAAAGATTTGTATTTTTGTGTACTGAAATAACTCAAAAACTACTGGGCCGAATTCAAATATTCTTATACTATTAAAAAGCTATGTTATCAGTGAGTAAAATAGACTACATTTTACGAGGACAAAGTCGCTACTAACAGCTAGTCTTTCATATCTTCGCAGACCACCACACCACCACATTAGATTCAAAATAAATTACTTACTATTAACTTGGCTTCTTTACGGGTCAAGTTATCTGACCTAAGAATTCGGTAATTTTATAAACCGGTAACACAAAGTAACGGACCACACAGCAGGAGCCCTTTAAGATACATTTTATATAAACAAACTAAATGTAAGGTAGGCAGAGATAGGAATGGCCCTGGCCCTTTCTAAATATATTCAAGAAAATGCAAGTTAAAGACGGTGAACTAATATGTAAGTGGTAGAACCTCCTTTAATATTCCCGTATTTTTAAAAGTTCGATAGTTTTTTTTCAATCGAGAGTTAACTCTTTCAATGAAAAATATTTTACCTACAACTACTCGTAATTCTAAATCTCAGATACGTGTACACACTAAAACTCATAACAAACAAAATGCGTACGTAGTTTACCATATCATAATTGCATTAAATGTCTTTGTATTTTAAAAAACAATTAACCCACCTTACAGGCTTATCTTTCAAACACAACACAATCACTTGCACTAATTTCCGAACTTTGTATTTTAAGTCGTAAAAATGGCGCGATTCAACACACACGTCTTTATGACAGCGCGGCGCGCGCCCAACTGACAACTGACAACTGACATCGAGTTATGGAAACCAATCCTCGTTCATTACTGGCCACATTAAGGGAGGTCTAATCTAAGTAATTCAAGGAATTATTTCGTTACTTTATTGTGTACTAGTTGCATGCCACTTCGCGTAAAATTAAAAAATATAGCCTATGTTACTCACTGATAACATAGCTTTTTAATGGTGCAAGTATTTTTAAAATCGGTCCAGTAGTTTTTAAGTTATTTCAATATATACAAAAATAGAAAAATCCAAAACTTTTCTCTTTATAGTATTAGTGCAGATTGCTTTTTTGAGAGTATTTTGTTTTTAGTGTATTCTGTGTGAAGTTTGGTTTTCATTTTTATTATTATAACCTACTAGCTTTCGCCCGCGATTCCGTCCGCGTGAAATTGAAAAAAAAAACAAAAGTAAGTAGCCTATGTGTTCTTCTAGACTATCCTCTACGTGTATACTAAATTTCATCGAAATCCATTCAGCGGTTTAGGTTACAAACTCTAACAAACATCCATCCATCTATACTTTCGCATTTATAATATTAGAATGATTGTTTTCAACTTCAGTATTTATGTGCTCCTAGTATTTTCAAGTCTTACTCCCATTTTAATCGTTAATGCCTGGTTCACACTTGGCCAGTACAGAAGCGACGGTAAGCGACACTGATTGGCGCCAGTTAATGTTCACTCTGCCAGTTAATGTTCACTCTGCCAGTCCAATCAGATCGCTAATGACTATTGACGAAGTGTAAACCACGCATAAGTATAGAAAGAACATCATCTCGTGTAAATTCATTCTTAAATTTTCCCGCCAAATCTCCCTTTTGAATCTTTCCCGCCATATTTGTTTATGCATGTTGAATACATATTCATCTTGCTGACGTTGTAATTGTCGTTTTTTTGTTCGTCAGCGCGCATGTAGGTCGGTATGTAGAAAATGTGTTGATAAAAACTTATAGACTTGTTTACGTTGTTTCTTTAAATAGCTACTAATTAACTGCATATTATTATGGTGTAAAATACGACTTATTTGGAATATGTATTTTTATAAACTACGATGGATTAACTGGTTTTGATAAAGGAAAGTAATTGGAAATTTTCTTAAATGCAATCCGTTAGACGTTAATATTGCTATTTTTATTTTACAGGCGTTATTTTTTTTTATTTTAGTTAAATCTTCTGGACGTATATCTTCTTGTCTTTTTGCTTGCTTTCCTTTGATGAAATCCTAGTATTTCAAACTAATTAGTAGACATCTGTGAAACTTTTAAATGAAACAAATTAGTTTAATATTGAAATCGTTGTTTATTTTTTAAGGACAGAATAAACATGTACTGTAAAGTTTATAAATAAATTAGACATGTAATGTGGGAGATATGCATCTGATATGCTAGATGACAGCTCTATTATATTAAGTACATAGTATATTAAGTATATTAAGTACAATAAAGGTGCTACCACATTACTCATATTTTCACAATTTGTTTGAACGATTTGTTTAAGCGTTTGTACTGGGTTTGTGAACACAGATTTAATGTGTAAACCTTTATTAATATATATTTCTAGAGCTGTTTGTTTTGAATATTCATAGATTGTTTATCCAAATATTTGTGCGTCGTAACAGCGTTTTAAACATGTTATTTACTACGGATTTCCTAGAGAATAGATAGAATTTATATTCTAATATTTAAAACTAATTAATTAAAATGGACTATTTATAATATCTTTGGCGAAGCAAGATTATTTACAAATGTTAAATGTTAAATTTATTTATAACATTTTATGTGAAGTATATTTAGATCTAGGGCCTGTCCCACCAAATTGCAAACTGTCTTATAACAATCCAACGTGTAAAATATGTGAAACATCGGATTTTGTTACCCAATCTGACAGTGACGTCATTTGTAAGCTATCTGAGCTTCTATCAGCTAGTGGTGGGACAGGCCCTTAATATAGTAAATCTTATATTAAATACATATGTTAACATCAAATCCATATATTTAAATCTAAGTTTAAGGACGTAAAAGAAATCTTACATTAAGTAACATGAAGGAATCCTGAAGTTAAGAAACTTTGAATGTTTTTATATAATTTTAGGGTATTCGATATGATTGTTCTGATAACTTTGCGTTTCTTTATAGTGAAGTTTTTTTATTATTTTTTTTTATACTGCTTGATCTTTGGCTATATTAAAATGTTTAACTAGTTTTCAACTAGATAATTAAAATTGTTAGGAAACAATTGTTTCGCAACAAATGTCGGGTTTCAACACATTTATATTCACGTAAGTTAACCTAAAAGTCATACAATTACAACAATTTAACCTTTACGAAGGACAATAAAACAAATTGTACAATTAATTTCCTCTTACATATTTATGTAAAATAAGATTTGTTAAGTATTGAAAATGAATTACTAATTTTATATCTGTTTAAATAATATACAAATACAGATTCAGAAATAAAAATCTTAAGAAAATAAATAACCTAAAATTGAGCTTCTGTACGACAAAAAGACGCCATCTTGTTTTAAAAATCACTTCTATTAAAAATTATCTTTCAGAATCTCTTCGCAATAATCTATTTACTTTAGAAATTCTATTTTTGTACGTCTCAATCGATGCTCTGCGAAGTAACCTGGTTGCTGCGACTCGTGTCATGGCGGCTTTTAGACTCTGCGGTGTCAAAATGGCGGGGGTTTCTCGCGTCCGCAAGATGTCGGGGACTAAACTGGCGTCTGACAACATGGCGTCGATATCACCGTTCAATAATACGGATTCCGATGAAGTGTAGTTCGTAATCGGCGTGCATAATGGTATCGCGTTCGACCATTTCCTATTCCTAAAATATACAGTAATCAATTTAAATGTCGGCTTTAAATTATGTTGATTAGCTATCGCCCGCGATTCCGTCCGCGTGGTATTAAAAAAAGTAAGTAGCCTATGTGTTTTTCCAGACTATCCTCTACATCTACACCAAATTTCATCGAGATCCGTTCAGCCGTTTAGGCTACAAACTCTAACAAACATCCATCCATCAAAACTTTCAAATTTATAATATTAGTATAAAGTATGATTTGCTACAACAATTTTTTACAAGCTCTTAGTTTAGATCTTGTATGGATAATCTACTTACGTATCCTTTCACAACGAACAAGCCAAATTTAATCCTTGGTGTTTTAAAAGTAGACTTATGTATATCAGCTCTGAATTGAATTAAAATGACTATAGATTATCCCCTATGATCAAGGGACTGGTGTCCAAAATAGTGTGGTACCCTGTGTGATGGATCAATTCATTCGAAAAATCTGCTCACATAGCTTTGAACAGATGAGCGGTGGCTCAACAACTATTAGCAGCTCACGGCTTATTATGATGTATAGCTATGGGATCTAATAAGTTGTGAGTGACTCAAAAGACACGCAAATGATGCCTCTATGTAGTTACAAATTGATCTGTGAGCCAGTTTAATAATCTGTTTCTTGCATACTGTGTAAGCTGATCTGCAGGTCATCAATTTTAGTTGAGTTACCCGTAATTGTAAAATATTTATGTTGTTCGATTAGTACCATTGTGACTGATTATACAGTAAATTACTAAACCAATAAACAAGTTAGGTGGTATTTTATTGTTTTTTATTCTTCTGAATGCACAGAACTATAATCGTTTTATTTTTGTTTCTTTTATGTGATGAAATTCGTGTTTTTGGTAAGAAAACTTACTTGAGACATCGCAGCATCGGAGCTCCTTTAATCCGGTAACCAGGCTCGCACGTGAAGGAGACAGTCTCCCCTATCTTGTAGTAGAACTTGACGGACGACATTCGACCTGATATTGTCGTGCCGGGGTATGTGCACGCTTGCGCACCTTTGTAATGCAAATTTTATATTTAAAAGCCAATTTTGTATTTGAATGTCGATGTGTTAGGTTATGTGTTAGGTTATATGAACTGATGTATTTTTAGATTAAAAGTTGGATTAGATACTGTTGTAAGTTAGTAATCAGAAAGCACACAGACACGATTAGTAAAGCTGATAAAGCCTTAATAGAAGCATAATGATGAGACACCGTGATATTTAAATTTCTCCTGAATTTAGTGTTTAAAAATATTACGATTATGACTGATTTATTTTAGTAGTTACTTTTTGATAATTCAGTTTATAATTGTTAATAAGTATGACTGATTTAATATTTCAATACATATGTATTTTTATGAATAAAAAAAAATCCACAGTCTGAAATTTTTGTCTAATGATCTTTTTAATTTCAATCCTAATTACGATGACATTTGTAACAGGTGAATAAAATTACCAAACCAAAAATGTTATATGGGGGCAACATAAAATAAAGCAATAGATTGAAAAGCTGCGTTGTTTTAAATACATTTATTCGATAAGCGACATCCACTACTCACAAGTGGGCGGCTTGTCGCTCCACCGGCCGCTGTCCTGGCACACCAGGATAGGTCTGCCGTGCAGCGTGTGCTCCGGGTTGCAGTGGAACTGCAGCACGTCGCCGGCGCGGTACGGCGCGCGGCCCAGCACGTAGCCCGCCGCGGGCGGCGGCAGCGCGGGGCACGACACCTCTGGAACAACAACAGAAAATACTGATTTACCAGACCAGAAATTACGAATACATTCTAGAATAAACTAAGGGTTTTTAGTTGTTGACATATTCCTGTTTTTAATACGTAACCTTCTTTATTTAAAACTGGTTCACACTAATTTCAGAGGATTAGTATTCCATTGTCACTTATTTCGACAAAAAACATTAGTCCATTAATTAAATATATCATTTATGATTAATCTATATCTATACTATCTTACTAATCTTACTAATATTATAAATGCGAAAGTTTAGATGGATAGATGTTTGTTAGTGTTTGTAGCCTAAACGGCTGAACGGATCTCCATGAAATTTGGCACAGGTTTAGAGCATAGTCTGGAAGAACACATAGGCTACTTTTTATCCCGGGAATAGTGACGGTTCCCATGGGATTCATTAATTTAGTTTTTTAATGTTTACTCGATCATTCTGCAACGGTTATAGTCTTATTGAAATTTGGCACAGATATAAAACAAATTCTGGAGTACACATGGGATAAGCTTCATCCCCGAGTAATATCCGGTTCCCGAGGGATACGTAGCTTTTTATAACTTATATAGTTTGTATGTTTTCTAATACCACACTGACGAAGTCGCGGGCAACAGCTCGAAGTATTATAAAGACGAGATTTGGATTTTTGTATGTATTGAAATGACTCAAAACCTACTGGGTCGATTTCAAAATTTCTTTTACTATCAGAAAGCTACGTTATCAGTGAGTAACACGGGCTACATTTTTATTATATTTCACTTTCACGCGGGCGAAGTCGCAGGTAACAACTAGTCTATATTAACATTAGGAACGATTTGCATTTTCATATTGAAATAACTCATAAAATATTAGGCCGATATCATAAATTCACGACCAATAAAAAGCTAAGTTATCAGTGGGGCTAGTTTATTTTTTTTTAAATTATTTGTTTTAAATTTGAAAACGGAGTTTCGGGGGCAAAGAGAAAAGCTACTCTTGTATAAAATACACCATTTAATAGCGTGGGACTTGTTTAGTAGTAAAATTGACGAACCTTTACAAATAGGGAAGGGCTTCGACCAGTCAGCGGCCGGCAGACACACCGTCTC